TTCCGGGCGGTGAGTGCGGGACGCGGGCTGGCCCTGGGGAGGAGGCGCCCCGGCTAGTTCCACGTGCTCCCCTGGAGAAGGAAGGTTCGGGGCCGCGGTGGGGCCCCCCTTTCTCGACGCTCCTGCCTCTGCGCCACGGAGAACGGCCTCAGTGGTTTCCCTGCCTCGTTTTGGCATTGGCGCGGCTGGTAAGTGGGAGGAGGGCCGGACCGACTGCGCCCGGTGCCCAGCCCAGCCCCTCGGGCCTTAGAGGTATGACCCCGGCCCGCCGGTTCTGCGCGTCCGAGAACTTCCCTGCAGCTCACTCCCTGCGGAATGTGGGTGGGAGCGCTCGGGCCGGGGTCTCTGCGAGCAGAGTGCTTGGCCCAGTGCTGCAGTGCAGCGGGAAAATGCCACGATGCCCATGGGGGTGAATGGGTTTGAGAACCCCGCTTCCCACATTGCCAAACCAAGGGGCCGGGGACCCCCGAGCCAGATTTGAGTTTTAGCCCGTCCCTTTTGGGTTGGAATACCCGCTGCCACTGACGGTGTGACTTGGGGCTGGTAGCTTAACGTCGGTCTGTAAAAAAGAAACAGAAGGAAGGTAGATCAAGGAGCCCGATTTCTGTGGGGATCAGGAAGGCTAATACTTTCGATGTGGAGTTGTTTGCCACAAATTGGATAGAGAGACGCCATCACGTGACCCACTCCTGCTCGTGGGCCAGAGAACTGAACGTTGCCTGGCCCTCACAGTCTCCAGTGTGTTATTGGGGTGCCCCTGGCCCTCTGCACCATCCAGCCTGACCTTCTCCTCCAGCCCTGATCCCAATGATGGAGTTGGGCAGTGCTCGCTCTCTGAGCATACGGCTTTCAGCCCGGAGTTTTCCCAAGTAGATCCCACGCTTTGACCTCTTCTGTAAGCACCTCTGAAGCCTGCCCACGTGGCTGACTCTGCTGGTGTCCGCGGTCCCAGCGGCGACATCGTTTTCAGTGTCAGAGCAACAGGTGGGCCTTGACAGCGTGAGAAACTGGCAGACATGGTGCCTCTGGCCAGGTCAGTCTCACTTCAGAGTGACCCTTACTAGAGGGGTTCTTCTCTTTTGGCAGGTAAGACGGCTCACCTGAACAGTTTTCAGTCCTACTGATGTTGAGTGTGTGGTCCCTGGGGGACACCAGTGGTTAGGCACAGGACTGTTCATCTGAAGGTGGGCAGTTTGGATCCACTCGGGGGCGCCTCAGAAGACAGGCCTGGTGATCTGTTTCTGCAAGGTCACAGCCTTGACCACCCCGTGGGGCACTTCCGCACGCGCTGGACACTTGGGTGGCCATGAGTCGGAGGTGGCTCCGCAATTGAAGACAGCAGCAGTTGAACGCTTACTCAGTGTCAGGTACTGGATCGAGAGGTGAATCGTTAGAACAGCCACGTGCACGGGCACTGTTGTCTTCTCTGCTTGGCTGAGTCATGAATCTCTCTGAGGCACACCCTCTGCCATCCAGTCAATTCAGATGTATAACAACCAAGGCTTTAAATCCTTACGGGAGCAGACAGCCTCATCTTTCTCTTACGGAGCGGCTGGTGGGTTTGAACCACCAACCTTGCTGTCCAGCGCCTACCCGAGAGCAGCACCCAAATCAATTGTCTGAAAACACATAGCTGGGGAGTATCGGAAGGAGGATTCGAACCCAGGCCTGGCCCGAAGGGCCCCCTCCTCACCGTGTGTTGTGCCATCTTGACTTCAGGTAGGACACTTGGTCGGGGGACGACGCAGCCCTGAGGACATCCCTTAACCCCGGGGCCAGTGACACCGCTGCGGGAAACCAGTGAGACGCCCACCATGGTGGACACCCAGGACCTGGTGCAGCTGCGGAGGCTCAATCTGGAGCTCCTGGGGCGGCTGTGGGCCAGGCAGGACGCTGTGCGGCAATCTGTGGCTGAGGCAGCCTCTGAGGTGGGTGTGGGAGAGGGCCGCCTCCCCTGGCTGGGGACACCGCTGAGGCTGGAACAGCGTCGAGGACCAAGCCGTTTATGCCGAGGGCAGCAGGCCAGCTGGCTGGCTGGCCAGTGGCTAGGCCACTCCCTGGCTGACCAAGCTCCTCTCCCTTAGTCAAGCCTGGACTCCAGCAGCAGCCAGGACACAGAGATGCTGCCATCTCAGAGGATGACCTCAACGACCTCAAGACCTTCCTCCTCGCCAGGCCACCCCACAGATGGTCCCTGTGATCTGGCTTGGCCTGGCAGGACCAGCTCTCTGGCAGTCTCTTTCCCACCCCCTGTGTGCCATCGCCCGAAGCCCCTGGACCGAGTGAGGCCTCATTCAGCGCCCTGCCTGGTCACCTCGGGCGTGAGTGACCTAGGACCGGGCGGCCCAGGGTCTCAGGACACCTCGCTGTGCCGCCCGACACCTCCACAAAAGTCATCCAAGGTACTGGGCGGCAGGGCATCGGTCCATGGGATCTTCCTCGAGCCGCAGTTTCCCCATCTGACACACATACTCCTGGGTGGCCTCCCTGGCAGGGTGTGAGACTTCTAGGAGGTGCAGGGTGAGTCGTGTCTGACTTGGCCTAGGTGCTTGATAAGTGATGGCCATTAGTTTCTCAGACGGCACTCTGGGAAAAAGCGACGAGCTCCCATTTCACTGATGAGAATACCAAGGCGCAGGCTCCCATGTCATTGCTGCTGTGGAGTCGATCCCAAATGACAGCAACCCAGTAGGACCTCCCGCAGGGGCTCCGAGACGGCCGATCTCTATGGAAACAGCCAGAGGAGGCCAGGCTTGGTATCTTGCCTCGAGCCCTGGTGCCCTTGTCAGGCGATACGTTAAGACAAAAGCCCCCCCTTTCCCCCAAAGTGGGCCCTTGCGTGAGCCAGGCCTCCTGGCTTAGCCCTGGTTCCACCCTGCTTTCCTCCCCAGCCCAGAGTGACCTTCAGCAAGGAGCCCGAAGTTCCTGAGTGGAGCTGGCGCCTCAGGCCGTACCTGGGCTACGACTGGATTGCAGGTAAGACCCGCCCCCGTGTCCAGGGTTGCTTGGGAGAGGGTGGCAGAGGCCCAGCTTGGCTGTGAACCTAACTGAGCGCAGCACGTGTTGCTGGTCTCTTGTCTCTCACCGTCCATTTTCAACACAGCAGCCAGACCCTGGGAGTCAGAGAAGGAAAAAACACTGCCCTGTCCCCATGAGTGGCTGTGGGCCTTGGGAGCCGTGGGGTTTTCTTTGGCTGGTTCTCAGCAGTAGATTGCCAGTTCTTTCTTCCTGTCCACCTAAATTTGAAACCTGTTCAGCGTCATAGCAACGCACAAGCCTCCACTGACAGATGGGGCGGTGGTGGCGCATGAAGTGCATTGGTCAGGAACTGAACCTGGGTCTCTCGCATGGCAGTTGGGAATTCTACCCCTGAGCCACTGTCCCCACCCAGCACCTATTAGGTATCATAGCGGTCTCATCCGAAATCAAGGTCTCGATGCCCACCCGGCCTGCTCCTCCCCTGCCTTTCCTGCCCCCGTGAGTGGCAAGCCTGCATCTGTTGTTGTCAGGTGTCGGCTAGGGGGGTTCCACCTCGGCGACCCTGTAACAGAACACGGCACTGCCCCAGCGTGCCTTGTCCTCACGATTGTTCGCGTGTTGGAACCGTTGTTGCAGCCACTGTGTCAGCGTCTCGTCAAGGGTTCTTTCCCTGCCCCGGCACGTTACCAAGCACGGTGTCTCTCTAGGGACTGGCCCCTCCTGAAAGCACAGCCAGCGCACAGGAGAGACACATCTCACCCCCTTGCCTCCAAGGAGCCTTCTGGCCGTATTCTTCCAAGACAGCTCTGTGTGTCCTTTGGCAGTCCGTGGCCTGTCAGTACTCTTCGCCAGCACCACAGTTCACATGCATCAGTCTTTCAAGTCCATGTACAACT